TGTGTGTGTGTGTGTGTGTTGTGTGTGTGAATGTGTTTGAGTTAGCCTTAAATCTGCTCAGAAGGAATGACATTGTACATACCGGAGTTTGCCCATGCTCTTTCATCTTCCCTTCATAGCAGGTCTAACACTGCATTTCAAAGCACCTTATTCCTGCCACAGAATGGTAAAAATAAACTTGCTGTCGGGAAAGTTTGTCAGTGGGAGAATCTCTTTAATCTGGCCCACAAAAATTTAAGCTCTCTCTGAGTTGACACCCAACGTCAGGCACACGTCAACGTGCGGACAGCTCATCTCCTCGAAGCCTTCGCGAAGCCTTGGTGATTAATAGTCGTGTGTTTTGCCAACATCATTGTCTCTGCCTCTGTTACACAAGGATTAATACACCATCACACCGGTTTGATGGCATGTTTCACCAGAGTACGGAGATGAATTGCCGCAGCTGTGTATTTGCATGAATATAGTGATTTAATGTAGAGGATGTAGCTTTGTGTCAGACGTAAACACATGGATTGGTAACACATCAATGAACTTGGGAAAATGCAGAGCTGTTTTCATTAGCCGTCAAAGACTAATACATACATTTCATAGAAAACTTGACATCTAATATATGCAGGATTTTACTAGCAAAAATATATGACCGTAAGTCAAGGGGAAATAGGATTGGATGTTGATATACAATGTAGTATATCTTCCTCATTTGACAGATAGCATTGTGAGCGAGCTAGTCCGTATTCAAGAAGCTACATTGAATGTGTTTAGGCTCACTGTGTGTAGAGTTTGAAAATTCAAGCTCTTTCTGCCTTGTCATTGCATTATATTTCTCTGCGCTTGACTCATAATACATGTAGAAGCTATTCATTAGCATTCCCATTCATCTCAATGGCAGTAGCTTGGCAGGACCATGCTAACTAGCCAAACCTTTACACCAGAGAAAAACCCTGGCAGTTTCCTTCTCCTCATTTTCATGGTTTTGTATTGTTATTGTGCTATATGCTATCCATCATATAATATGCTGGTTTGCTAAGTAGCTTGCAGTTATCTATTCAGTAGGAATGAAGATTAAGAGTAAAAGCGTATGAAGCATTCTAGAGGATCATGCTGGCAGCACAGCGAGTTGCCACCTATAAGGCTGAGCTGTTTCGGATTTATTTTGTAATTAGGTGTATCGATTTGCCATCCTATTGTGTTTTATGTGTTCATTTGCCTCCCTTGTGCTCTCAGCAAGGACACAGCGCTGCACTTTTGCTGTATTAACACTCGCTAACCATGGAGTCCAGACATTTGGCTTCATTCAATATGCAGCCTCAAGACTACATTACCAAGTCAAAGAAGTTCAAATAACAATATCATCAGCAGCCCGGAATTCTCATGGTCTGCGTTTATTTTTTTGTTCAGTTGTTCAAGGCGCCCTGGTGTTTTCGAGTGGAAATTGGACTATTTCTTAGGAGGAAATGCTTTCAGTGAACAAACAACTTAAGTCGTAAGCAAATTTAATATGTTGGCCTTTTCTGTGTTTTCTTTTTCGAGGCTGATTTTTTACACAATACATGTGCGAGTTGCCACCTATAAGGCTGAGCTGTTTCGGATTTATTTTGTAATTAGGTGTATCGATTTGCCATCCTATTGTGTTTTATGTGTTCATTTGCCTCCCTTGTGCTCTCAGCAAGGACACAGCGCTGCACTTTTGCTGTATTAACACTCGCTAACCATGGAGTCCAGACATTTGGCTTCATTCAATATGCAGCCTCAAGACTACATTACCAAGTCAAAGAAGTTCAAATAACAATATCATCAGCAGCCCGGAATTCTCATGGTCTGCGTTTATGTTTTTGTTCAGTTGTTCAAGGCGCCCTGGTGTTTTCGAGTGGAAATTGGACTATTTCTTAGGAGGAAATGCTTTCAGTGAACAAACAACTTAAGTCGTAAGCAAATTTAATATGTTGGCCTTTTCTGTGTTTTCTTTTTTGAGGCTGATTTTTTACACAATACATGTATCAGGATATTGGATTACAATATTTTACTCAGATTAAGTATATACAGAGGGTTTTCAAGCTCAGGGACCAAGTAATATAGCTGGTTGGCTGGATGAGCGCACTTAAGACTTGATTTGGTTTTGAAGATATTTTTCCTTTTTTGATTTGTGCTGAAAGTGTAAGAGCGCTGTCTGGAAATTCATTTTGAGCAAACAAGACAGAACCGCTGTTTCCTCCCACAGTCCTTTAACGTCAGCAAATATCTCTAGTTGCACTTCATTCACAGACACAAACAAATAGGGATGTTCTTTGCTTGACTGCAAATACTAGAGCAAATACCTTTTTTGTGTGTGTACTTCTTCACACCACAACACATGACACTTTGTATCTTGAAGCATGATGATGAAGTACTGGGCTGTTGGGCTGTGTTCAGGGTTGTTGAGGTTAGCGGATGTTTGTCGTTGATATTGTAGTGCGTTGTCCTTGTTCTACTACTAAACTACGCTTTTTCATTTAAAGCCTGACATATTAAAGGGATAGTTCACCCAAAAATGTCATTAATTACCCTCATGTTTTTTTTTTTTCAAACCCGTAAGACCTTCGTTCATCTTCAGAACACAAATTAAGATATTTTTGATGAAATCAGAGCGCTTTCTGATCCTGCATAGATAGCAAGGGAACTACCGAGTTCAAGGCCCGGAAAGGTAGTTAGGACATTGTTAAAATAGTCCATGTGACTAAAGTGGTTCAACTGTAATTTTAAGAAGCTATGAGAATGCTTTTTGTGCTCAAAGAAAACAAAAATAACAACTTTATTTAACAATTCTTCTCTTCCGTGTCAGTCCCTGTTGCACATTCACAAGAATACCACGACGCATAAGATAATAGAGATGATAGAGTAGAAAAAATTACATAAATTAAGGTTTATTCATTCCCACTGTCATAGTAGTATCATGCATTGTGAATTCAAAAGCCTTTCTGGACTTTTACAGGGAAAAGAATCAACTGTTGAGCACTGAATCTAACTTATTGAATGAATCGTTTTCTAATTAATCCATGATTGCGGTGTGTATAAATGAGCTCTGAGTTGCAGAATGCTGCTGTGTATAGATCTGACTCGTGTGGTTTGTTTCTAGGTCAATTCCTCTCTTGTCACAAACATTAGGATACAAAGCATTCCTGTAATTTCTTGATGCATTATGTTGTTTATGATTGACAAGCTCAGTGACACTGCGTGCAGTGATTCTTTTGACAAGAAATAATCAGATGTTGTTTTTCAGCAGGTACAGTTTCACCTTTGAGATAGACGAGTTTGCCTTCATATCTTTTTCTTGCGATGTGATGGTATACATCGCTCGTGGAGCTAACAGCCGCTTGCTGCCTGGGCTCATCTCATTCACTGCAGTTGATGCAGGAAGATGAAATGTATTAGCCTCATATCGCGAAACTAATATGCTATCATTTACAGCATTACGCTCCCCAACTGCAGACGAAAGAAAATGTTCAGGGAGCTCCATCAGGTGCCTTCCATTAAACTGGAAATTTGAAGCTTAAGGTACCATTATGAAATATCAGTGTAGTTCAAAACCCCCAGGTAATTGTGGGTGGAAAATAAGTTTGCGAAAGGCCTATAATTCACTACAATTCTCGGACTAATATTGTCATAATTAGTCAGAGAATCAGCCTGCCTAACACTGAGGCTTTTCAATAAGCGCTTGTGACAGTACTTGGGGTTACCATGGCTACGGTTTGCTGCACATTGCTCTTGTATGCCAACACCCTGTGCAGCCATTTCTGTACCGCAGTAAATACTCATCTCCGCCTGCCACATTAACAGAACTGGAAAAGAGCCAGCGCTATTGACGTGTTGTTATCTTGCGGTCCAAAAATGCACGGCCTTGTGCTCCTCATACACCCACTGACAACATCCTTCCCAGGAGTGCGTTTTAATTGGTTGACAGGCCCAGTCACTGGGAATGTACAGCATATGCTTCTCTTTTTAGCTTCAAGACAGAAACTGTGATTTTATGTAAACTACCTTAGTAATTAGATAACAAAGAAACACTTTCTGCTGAAATGTTTCGGTTGTGTAGGAGGAACATGTACTTGTGTGTATGGGTATAATTTAAGAATGGGTCATGATGGATGATAACCAATTACAGTAGTTGAGGATTCCCACAGACATGGACCAAATATCAGGGGATTTTAAAAATGTAATCTCCAGGCCTGGAAATATCAGGGGAATTTTGATAGTGAATATACACTACTGTTTCAAAAGTTTGGGAAATTAATACTTTTATTCCGTAAGGATGCATTAAATTAATCAAAAGTGACAGAAAAGACATATATAATGTTACAAAATGTTTATATTTCAAGGACATTTTGTTTTTCTGCACTTAATATTCATCAAAGAATCCTCACAGTTTTCACAAAACTATTAAGCAGTTTTCAGCATAATAGTAATAATAATAAGAAATTATTCTTGAGCACTAAATCCGCATATTAAAATGATTTCTGAAGGATCATGTGACACTGAAGACTGTAGTAATGGCTGTTGAGAATTCTAAATATATATTAAAATAGAACCGTTATTTTAAATTGTAATAATATTTGACAATATTGTTTTTTATCAAATAAATGAGCCTTGCATAAGCATAAGTGACTTCTTTCAAAAAAATTTATTGTAATGTACATTTTTCAATTTCTCCTCAAAAATGTTGCATCAGCTAGATATTATTTATAGATATTGTAGACTACTCTTTCTCTTTTTCAGACACTTGTAAATGTAATGCATTTTTGAATTTACATCTATTCATTCCAAGGATAGAAATGGAAAACTTCTCTAGAAACATCTATGAAATTATAACAATTGATTTTTGATTAATCAATCAGCCAATCAACTTGATTTTGAACGACTTGATTTTGAAAATGCATAGTTTTGCACTTCCCTTGTTTGATTTGTGTATCGTATCCATGTAGGTTGTTTCTGAAATATGGATTTCTCTCTGTCTCTCTTTTCTCCAGCTGCCTTGCAAGTGGAAATCACTCCGGCCCAGGGAGAGATCAGCGTGGGAGAGTCCAAATTCTTTTTGTGTGAAGGTAGGAAGATGACCCTCCTGTAATGAAACAAATGGGGGGTCACGTGACATTTAACCTTCACAAAGTGCTTTTGATTTGAAACCTGCTGTCACCACTCTGTTCAATGCATTTAAACAAGCCCTTTCATTCTGATGGGAGGGCAAGGTTGACTAAAGCTTTGATGTGCTTATTTACAGCCGGTAAATTAATTGACCTGCCTGATTTTTTCAGTAAATCGGTGTGTGAAGTTTAGTCCTTTATTTTTGATCCAGAGAAGTGAAATGTAATGTTAAAGAATGATGGTAGATGAAAAGCACAAACAGCTTTTATTATAAATGAAGAACACCTGAAATATTCAGAGGACTCATCCAATGGTGGGGAAAGAAAATCTGACTAGATTCAGCGTGAGCTATATTATTGTGAAAATATTTTACTGCACATTAATTAACCATGTTGAATGTGTCCTTGAGTAGCACTGAAGAATACATTAAACATTTTGAATATATTATGAATATTTAAATTCCGATTCAGTGATTCAACTCTAATTACAGTATGTGATTCAATCATATATGTAAATGTTACATTCATAATAAAATTATGTCAAAATCTAATAAATATTCAAATGAATGTAACAAATATATGAAAATGATTTAGTAAAAAAATGTAGATAAAATCTGTTTTAGGACATGTTTATTGCTATGTTTTGTTATATTTGTGCGTATCAGTTATGAAATAGCTGCTGAGCTGATGTCTGTCACAGTGTTTTCACTCTATCTGTCTGTCTGTCAGTTGTTGGAGATGCTAAGGAAATAGACTGGTTTGCACCCAATGGGGAGAAGCTCCAGCCAGGCAGACCAGACATCAGCGTCAGCAAGAATGATGAGTCCTCGTCAACACTCACAATCTACAATGCCAACATCGACCATGCAGGCATGTACAAGTGTGTGGCGAAAAGCGGGGACAAGGAATCTCAGGGCACTGTCAACCTAAAAATATTCCGTAAGTAAAGTGTTTTACTTTTAAGTGCTTATTTAGAAATTGTGAGAAATGAGGAATCAAATAATACCGGACCCAACAGTAACCCCCAAGCACAATAAATCATCTGACATTTACCACAACATTTAATAACAAAACAACTGTAGACTAATAATGAAAGCATAAGGTTGATACACATCAGTTTTAAACATCAACCATGCATGTGTTACGCAGTTGCTAATGGAATACGTTTTAAATATATTATTCTTCTTGAAATCATTATCTCAAGGCCAAAAGTTTTAATGCTTCATTAAAGTGAACTAATCCTGCCATAATCACTGTGTTTTTGTGTAAATTTTTTTTGTATTCTGACAAC